CCCGCCGCAGCATTAACATTTACCTGAGAAAGGGTTCGTCCCGGGGGCCTGCTCCCAGCTCTCCCTGCATCGCTGCCAGCGGCCGCAGGGGCTGCCAGAGCGAGCTCAGGCCCAGGCCTCCGCGCCCTGCCTCAGCACCGACACGCTGCTCCACCCACCTGGGCACCTGTGGGGGCCCCATGGCCGCCCCTCGGCTCTGCCCGCCTGCCGCACGTGGGGGCCGGCAGAGGCAGTGCGTCTCGGCGCGGACGCCCACGAGGGAGCAGCGTCCGAGGGCCGGAGATGCTGCTGTGCCCTTGAAATGTGGGCGCCCAGAAAGGCCTTCCCCAGGCCTAGCCCCAAGTCCCAACCGGGGGGCACAGCCAGTTTCCAGGGTGAGATCTTCAGCGTGAGAAAGAATCTGCTGAAGGCCCCTCCCCCACCACCAGTAGGTGCCTGCCCAGGGCTGAAGGCGGATGTCAGGGCCAGCACAGAGCTCCCCGGGCTCCCGCCTCCTCACACCCGCCAGGTGGGGGCCTCTGACCCTGAGACGCCCCACTCGTCCCCGGGAGAGCGGGGCCTCGGACTGGGGAGAGGCAGGTGCTGATTGGGTCCGCCTCCCCGGCACCCCAGCCACAGGGTGACGCCTGTCTGGGGGCGGGAGTGTCCTGTGAGCGTGGCATGGGAGCAGCACCCCCTGCACCCCTCCCCCACACACACCTGCCGTCAGCGGCGTCTTCGGGCTGGAGAGGGCGAAGCCGCCTGGGCTGAGAACTCCCTGCGGTGTCCGGCCCCCGGCGCAGCCCTGGCTGAGAATCGATCCACGACGCGCACAGCCAGGATCGATGCGTGCCTGCACCCGCATTGATTTTGCCATGGCGCTGGCGAGGCCGCAGGCCGGGCACTGGCGAGGCCGAGGTGCTGAGGACCTTCCTGCACGATGCTGCTGGGGGAGGGGAGCTCGGGTCTCAGGGACGGGAGGGGGCGCGGCTGGAGGCCTCTCGGGGGTGCCGGCCAGCTTACGCCAGGGCCTGCAGGGGACCTGGGCGGCGCTGGGGTGCAGGCGGGGTGGGTGGGGCTAGTGAGCAAGCGGCCAGGGACACGCCAGCGATGCCTGTGTGAGCGTCCAGAGCAGCGTGACGGGACGGCGGGAGGTCAGCGCTGGCGGGAGGAGAAGTGGCCCGGGGCACGTCGCGGGGCCCAGGGCAGTGGGGGGCCCCTCGCCCTCGCGCCACCGTGGCCAGGCGGGTGTCCTGCCCTCACCGCGGCGTCCGGCTCGCCCCCAGCTGTCTCCCTGCCCCCACCTGCTCCGTCTCCAGGCCCCTGCCTCTCCTGAGGCTTCCCGCCCCTCCTCAGCATCTGTCCCGCTGGTCTCTGTCCGGCTTTCCCTCTCCCTCCCGCCTCGCCCCAGCCCGGCCACCTGCTCAGCCCCGGGGCCCCAGTCTGTGCCTTGGCTCAGGCCTGTGCTCCCAGGGCTCCAGCATCTGTCTGCCCTCGGGTGGCCAAGGCCTCTGGCCGCAGCTCGGGACGCACAGATGCGTCAGGCGGAGACCTGCCTCCCTCCACGCTGGGGCCTTTGCATCGGGGAAGGGTGGTGAGCAGGATGGTGCTGGACGCACTCGGCAGGC